CTAATAATTAATTAAGTATGTGTTTTGGTAATTTTTTATGTTTTCTGATTACCTCCATGAAGATGTGATCAGGATGTGGTTTTCCCTTTTCACTCTCCTTATTGCTTAACTCTGAGTAACTTTTTTGAGCCTCAGTTGGGCCTGGGCCTCGGCAACGGGCCATTTGGGCCTTGGGCAGGTGGGCTGAGCCTAGGGCAGGTGGTTTGGGCCTCTGGGGGCCTGGGCGTCAGTGACCAGGCTGCAGGATGGTTGGGCCTTGGCCAGTTTGTTTGGGCCTCGGGCTGGTGGTTTGGGCTTTGGGCGGGCAGTTTGAGCCTCATGGGGCCTGGGTATCAGCAGCTGGGCATTGGGCGGTTTGGGCCTTAGCGGGTGGGTTGGGTGGATTGGGCCTCTGGGGTCCTGTGCCTTGGGGACCGCGTTTAGGGCGGGTTGGGTCTTAGGGGCACTGGGCCTTGGCGACCGGGCTACACTGTGGGTCGGGCCTCCGGGGCCCTGGGCCTCAGGGATCTGGCTACGCGGCGGGTTGGCCCTTGGGGGCCCTGGACTTCGGCGGTGACCAGGCTGTGGACCGCCTTGGCTGTAAGGCGGGTAGGCGATTTGGGACTTGGTTGGGCCTGGGCCTTTGTGACCAGTCTGTTGGCGGATTGGGCCTCAGGGCAGGCCTTGGCCTCAGTGGAAGTGTCTGGGCCTTGGGTGGGCCTTGGCCTCAGTGGGCAGGCCTTTGCCTTGGGTGGTCCTGTGCCTCGGCAGCTTAGCAGAGGGCTGGTCTAGTCCGGGGCAGTACAGGGCTGGGGGTAGTGGCTGCAGGGAGGTAGTGTCCGTATTTGATGACGTAAAAAATGCCTCTCTCAGTCTCTCTGTACCGTGGGTACCCCGAATTTCCTGATATCCACACCGATATCCCTCTCTATTTGTTTGGCTTTGTTAATTTATGCTTCCTTTTCTGTGGAAATGCAGCCTTCTAAGAGGGGTTGTTCTAGCCCTGCATTCCAAGGTCTGCAGGGGGCAGAGGCACTTGCTGGTGTGGGCATGGAAGCGGGAGCTGCTTGAAGGCAGGCAAAAGCTCAAAATGCCTATAATTCCTCAACAATATGATCTTTTAAAAAAAACGAGTTCAGAATTTTGAAATATAAGATCTTATGTTCAAAGGCTGTCTGTCTCCTTGACAGATGTTTCTTATGTGCGATTCCGCCCCTATTCCCCGAGACTGCCCTACCTGAGCTGCCTGGTCAGGGAAGCGCCGGAAGTCCTCTAGGCATCTATATTTTAAAAAATTCATTCTGAGACTTCATCCTTCTAGAAGCAATGATACTCTACAACATCAATAATATTGCTTACAGATGAACTCTTTAAAGTTTTTAGTAATATTGTTATTGTCAGATTATTATTATTTCTAAAAGGATGACATCTCAGAATAATTTTTTTTCAAAATATAGATGTCTACATTGACTACAAAATCCGATTCCTTAAGATGTGTGTGTATGTGTGTGTGTGTAGACACACACAGAAATAAAGAGAGCAAGGGAGAGTGAATGAGAATGAACTATTTAAATGATGCCTGCATCTTCCATTTTGTTGAACATTTCTCATCAAGATTTGATTTTTTAAATTGGCAATAAAACTTTGCCTTCATCAACTGTTTTCATTTTAAGTTGTCTGTTATTTCCCCCAAGGACTACTGGTGTGGCATTGTAGGATCAGCACTGGACTGCTAAGCACTAGGTCATTGGTTCAAACCCACCAGCTGCTCTTTGTAATCCCTATACAAGGTCACTATGAATCAGAACTGACTTAATGGTACTTAACAACAATTATTGTCCCAAATGGATGCTTTTTATCATAAATGTTCCTTCAATTCCTGCATGTAAGCAGTTCTTTCTTATAAGCTTCATCTTATGTGATTTTTTCTTTCTGCTAGGCCAAACACTTAAATGTCAAATTCGGGAACCTCTTGAAGGAATTCAAGCCCCAACACTTGCCTGAAGCTGTCCCTCTTGCCAAGTCTTTTAAAATGGATATCAAGAAATCGGAGGACCTGGCGTCCTCAGAAGAAGACAGTGTTGGGGTTGAAAATGTCAAGAGTCAGACTTTCTTCAAAGATCTATTTGATAAGAAGCCAAATTCTGAGCCTAGTGTGGATGGTCTTGGGGATTATCAAACCTGGATTCCAGGGGCTTTGAAGCAACACGAAAGCCTTCAAGCTGGATCTCAGCAACACACAAGCATAGGCCTGCAATTAGAAGTCAAATCTTCCGATGATGAGGAATACGGCTACATTGTCACAGAAAATGAGTAAGTAGGAAGTCTTGTTTATCCTTACTTTTCTTTTGGTACAGTGACATCCTGGTAGGCTGGAGGAGATACCTCATTGAGTGGATACACACTGACCCTGTATAGGGTTTCTGAAGCTAGACGTCTTTGCAGGAGTGGTAAGAATCATCTTTCTCCTGTTGACTGACTGGTGGGCTTGAATTGCCTATCTTGTGGTTGGTAGTCCAGGACTTATGGTCCTGAGCAACCACGCTTATATATATGTATATAATTATTTTAATATACTTGATTGGTGAAAAAGGAGGCCCTGGGCGGCGTACAGTTAACACTCTCAGCTGTTAACTGAAAGGCTGACAGTTTGAGTACACACAGAGGTGTGTTGTGGCCTCTTTCTGGAAGATCAGATAGAACAACACAGTTCTCCTCTGACACACATGGGGCCGTTGTTAGAGCTGGCTCAATGAGTGTAACTGGTTGGTAACTGAAAAAAGCATGAGTGGAGGAATCTGGGTGATCTTTGGTGTGGGTGGATGTCTGTTTTACCTAATGTTTCTGAACTTGAAACCTAAGCTTGAGAGTAATTCTTTGAATTTTTTAAAGAAAAATATTAAAAATAAAAGTTCTTCCTGGGTTCTTTGGTGCTATTGTGTTCTCACATCCAGTTTGATTTTCACTGCTGGCCAGGATCATGGGGATTTTAAAGTAGCTGGGTGCCCTATAGGATAAGTACTAGTTGGCAGTTCATATCCACCAGTCACTCCGAGGGTAAGAGAAAGACTGTCTGCTCCAGCAGAGATTTGCAGCTTCAGAAACCCTGTGTAGGGTCGCCATGAGTCTGAATTGACTTGGTTTGGTGTTTTATGTTGACTCTCTTTCTGTGATGGGAGGAGGGAAAGACTGTAAATACGCCAGGTCTTGAGCAAGGAGGCTCTGCTGAGGACAATGCTGGCTGGACTCCTTCACATGGGAATGAAAAGGAGCCTTTCATAACTCCTATAGGCTGGGCTTCGGCTTTGGTATTTGATGCAATAGGATGATTTCAGGACTGTTCAAACACCAAAAACTTCATATATATTTTATATCAAAAGAGTCTAAATATCAGGATATGAGTCATCCTCTGCAGGGATGAAAAGATGATTCACAGCAACAAAGCGTTCTTTCCTCACTCCTATTTTGATTGGAATGTAATGTGCATAAGGCTTCAAACATCGTGTACTCAGTAAGTCAGAAGTGGTAGGCCACATTTCTACAGGTCATATTTCTATAGGTCACCACACTAATGAAGCTGACATTTCATGCATGCTTTATGAAACAATAATAATAATGGCTATGTTTTCTTTAAGCAATAGAAGCGATATTTCAAAGGAAAAAGCAGGTCTGAATGGTCTGTGTGTGTAATTGTTTCCTTGAGTTATAAAATAGGAGTCAGTCAAAAAGTATGGCTACTAAATCACAGAGGCCTTTATTAAACAAAAATAACAAAATATAAAGAGAGTGTTTCTCAGTATAGCTGACATCTAGTCTATACACTTCAGATAGTGGTGTTTCCATCTTGCTAACCCTTCCCTGAAAAATTCTGTGTTCTTTTACTTACACTATGTCAAAGTGACAGTTTTGGCATCCTTAAGTGGCTAAAGTCTTGTTTCTTTTGAAAGTTCTTTGAGTTTGTGGAACAAAAACTCAAGTCTGAAAGAGCAAGATTTCTTGGCCATTTTTTTTTCACCAACACAGTTTCAGTTTTCTTAACACTTCTTCAAAATAAGCCCCCAGGATTGTCCTGTGTCCTTTGAAAAGAATCTATTTAGATTATCTCTTTAAATTGATCATATTTTCCTGATTATTTAACAATGGTGGAAAAAGTTGGGTTAAACTCAAAACTGATCTATCTAATTCCACAGGTGTTTATTTCTGAGCTCATATTTTCCAACAAAATGCAATCTACCTCTGATGTTTTGGTACACTGGAGATAACAAAATTTGATCCGTGAGAATTAAATGGACAGGAAATATTTTATTTTAGAGAGAAGCCACAGGCCATGTATCAAAGCCAAATTAAAATGTAAGACTATTTTCAGCTATAGATGATTTTCCTATGTGTGTTTTTAGATGAGTCCTAACAGGCAGACCCTTCAATGTTTACACCAAAATGTTGATTGTTTCTTATAGAAACCCTTCTTTGTGAAGATAAGTCTACCTATTTCTGGCCTCTTTGCTTCCATAATAGGCTCCATTTATTTGTCTCTGTCATTGTGCTCTTTTCCCTAGAATGATAAACTCTTAGTGGGAGTTTATATCCTTAGTATCACATCTTACAGAGAAGCACAAATAGGTACTTAAATAATATGTCCTGCTGAGGGTACATTTTTGCATTATGAAAGCAAAAGTGAAATATCTACTTGATTGCTTTGTGATACAAATCATTATAACAACCTATTATACATTTTGAAATATCCCATATGGTGGATTTTCCCTTTCATTAGAAAACATTGCTGTGTGCGTGTGTTTGTGTGTGTGTGTGTGTGCACGCACGCATGCCTGAGAAAGGCATCTAGTTGCTGATAAAACCTCTGCTTCACGCAGCTCTGAGTCTGTTTTCACACACTAGGACTTCAATTCTATCCTCATTTATAAAGTGTGCCCTTGAAGTTAACTGGCAGCCAGTGAATCTTCCTTTAAATGAGACCATGATGCTAGCAAGGACATAAGCAAAACCACTGGTCACAGTTCCACAAAGGAGAGAGGTGCTCCTCATTAAATTATTGGAGAAAAAGGTATCTGGTCTCCTTAAAGACTACTCAAAGACTACTGACAGCCTTGTTGTCAACCTGGGGAACAAATGACTTGTGCATTTTATCTAGTGACCTTTTAGAGCAGGACAGCCCATACCTGTTCATTCTCTGCATCATCACTAATCTTGGGAGTGAAATGACAGTTTCACTGTTAGCCATTGTCCCAGATGCAGCAGGCTCAGCACTTTTGGTGGTGAGAAACCTACCAAGTCGGGTCAGTTCCTGTTTGCTCCAGGTGACTTTCCAGTAGAAAATGAAACTGTGATTAGATTTGGATTTTGTTTTGTGTTCGAAGTTTATTTCCCGTACAGCAATGCTCGAACATGCCTGACATCCCTTCTTTATCTTTTATTATTTCAATTGAATGAAAGATACATGGTGAAGATAATACAGCTCTCTCTTTTTTATAAGGTATAACCAACTAGAAGATTATGCACCCCCTCTACTAAAGACAGTGTGAATTTTGACCCTATTGTCATATATTGTGGAATCCTGGAATGGCACTGTAGGTTGATGCAATGGATAGTAAAGCCATTTGAACTGCAAGGTCGGTGGTTCAAGAGCTGCTCCTCGGAAACCCTATACAGGGTCATTTGGGGTCGGAACTGACTCAAAGGCACTTAACAACAATAAATCAGATTAATTAGAGTCCTGGTGTGGCACTGTAGGATCAGCACTGAATTGCTAACCACAAGGTCTGCAGTTCAATCCTATCACTTGCTCTCAGGAAACCCTAGACAGTGTTGCTATAAAATGGAACTGATTCGATGGTACTTAGCACCACACGCACCAGATTAACTAATAATTTGGGTTTCATTGGGACAATATTTCACAAGAGCTCAGACTAAACCTTAATAGATCAGCTATAAGTTGTTAAGAATCCACTGGCATTCAATTAGTAAAAAGGGATTTTTGTGCATTTAGCTGTATCGTGCAAAGGTGAAGGAATATGATTTATAACTTCGTGTTATCTTATCATTGACATGTGGTCTTGTCATTGACATTTGGAAGGGTGAATAATATAGCTTAGCTCTGCAAGGCACTATTTTATCTCTTATATTTTCTGATGGACAAGGTATAGTTTAATCCTTTGTCATTTCTGTTTTATCCTCTTTACAACTAGATAGTTTATTCAAGACTGGATGAAGGGCAAGACAGCCATTCCTGTCCTTAAATTTTTTAAATGATTTGATGTTACATTGATAGGAAGAGATCACAGGATGGAAGCTTAGTTTGAAGCAAAGGAGGCTATGTACCTCTCAACAAAGAAGAAATTATCTTTTAAATCTAACAAATAAATACTTACAAAGAGACATATGATCTTGATGTTATGTGCTACTGGTATACTTCTCATTACTTAGTAAAAAATCCCTCTTAGTTGTCATATATTCTTTTTTTTTTTTTTTTGTAATTTAAGGTTTTTATTGTGGATTGAATGAAAGTTTACAGGGCATATCATCAGTTTCACTTTCAACCATTCATATAACTTGTTTCATTACATTGATTATAATCCCCTCCATATAACATGAGTTAAAAGTATTTCTATCCACTTTAGCTTTTTAAAAAACACACAAACAAAAAAAAACCCCACTCAGGCATATATAATAATTTACATCTCCAAAGGGCACATTCTGCATGTCTGCTCCTGGCCACCAGTTCTTAGTCCTTCTCTTCTTAGTTGATGATTTTAGAGTACTCAACTGCTCTCCCTCTCCATGCCCCCATCTCTGCCTCCATCTCTGGCACTGCTGCTTATCTGGATAAGGTCCCTGCACTCTGCTTGTGCGCTTCTCTCTTGATGGTCCTGGGGTCCTCTGTTTCTGGACTGTAAGATTAACCACTCCCCTTTTTTTGTTACAAAATTTTTACCTTTACAATTGTGACAGTTGCGATTAGTCATGATAACAGTTATTACCTGTTGAATCTTACGAATCTTATCCCCATCTCCTTTCACCAGACCCATCTAGACAAGATGATA